TGGGTACTATGCGAATATATACGGATTATGTGAACTGATTTATGCCAATAAAAATACGACTTAACATTTTATACATTTGTTCTCTTATTATTTTGATAAATCAAGTAGACGCCTCAATTTAAACCTAGTTTAAAGATTTGAATAAGTTCAGCGCGAACAGTGTCCATGAAATGCGACCAATCTTGACCTACCCCCACCACTGGAGTTGAGTCTCCTGGTCTCTAGTCTTTTTGGTGGAAACATCTGATCATGGTGTAAAGATACAAGGTGAAGCCTTTGACTATAGAAACCTGGACTGCTAGTCTCCGCCCCTTTCTATTGTTAAAGGATGTAATAAGGATAGGTTAGGTTTAAACTCCGCCTTTTGACCAAAAAGCGGTAAATTTAAATGTGTAATATGGGAACTTTGAATGGGAAAGATGTAGGTTAACAAAACAAAAAGCTTTTGAAGTAAATATAATATCACAGTTTATCAAACATAAAAGAATACACCTTTCAACTAGGTGACTAGAACATAATAAAAGAATACACCTTTCAACTAGGTGACTAGAACATAATAAAAGAATACACCTTTCAACTAGGTGACTAAAACATAACATAAAAGAATATACCTTTCAATTAGGTGACTATATATCATAGAACATAAAATAAAAGAATTAACTGTATATAAAACTATATAAATAGAATAAAAATAATTTGTAGAAATGAGAGTTTTACAAAAAATTAACTTGTGAAACCTGTTTCACATTGCATGAACATAATTGTAATTTTAACATTACTGGCCTTTAAAAATAGTCATTTTTGTATTGGTATGACGAACGAAATGATTATGCAAGCGTAAAGTGGCAGTTTTTCCGTAGTAATACAATTTAACATCTAAATATAACTTAATGATTAATTTAATTAATTCATATTTATGATTTTCGAGAAAATCACAATGTTGAACATGACAATCGAAATTTTTAAAAATAGTATCTAAATTTAAATGTCGAAAGACACTGACAATCATTTTATCGTGCGCATGTTTTGATTGCAAGTTATTTTGTATTCTATTTAAATTGAACACTTTCTCTACGACTGTAACGACTGCAAATGTATCTGTTCTGGGAAAACGCAGAGAACCACAAGACTTCCTAGCAATAAAATCTGAATGTACTTCATCGCACTCGTTTAGCAACGTGAAGCAGGTTTCACAAGTTAATTTTCGCAAAACTCGCATTTCTACAAAACCGGCAATGTATAACGCGACATGATTTACATTTGAATCTATGCAATATAGTGATAAATAATCATCTACATTTTCGAGATCAATTGGCTGGTTCGCTTCGATGCCATCATCGCATGTCGAAATTTTTTTAGCCGATGAGACAGTTAAGATGCTAGTAGTATCGATCGGCACGCAATTTGCCTGCGCTGAGGATTTAACCTCGTTTTGATATAATAGTCGCTTATACGACGACGTGAATTGTTTGCAATTAGGGTTATTGTTATAACCGCCCATAGCACGGAAACAAGAAAACAAGATTTCCAAATGATCTTGTGACATTTTGTATGATAAAATGTATTCCAAATATCCTGTTTCCACGTATTGCATGTACAATCTCCTCAAGTTTTGCATGTCTATTATAAAACCTAAAAATCCCGTTTTAACTTTACTTTTGATTATGAGCTGTTCGGTAGGCTCCAATTTTAGCGAAGATAAGTAGTCGACTGCCTCATCAAAGAATTTAAATATTTCTGCCGCTGTATCGCGTTTTAATGGCCTTTTAAAACCGTACGAATACAAACTTCTTGAATTTAGACAGTCGAAAGTGGCATTCACTATTCGACAGAACTTTACGGTAGCAGTACATCCAACGAAATTTTTATTGCCATCTTCTGATAGCTGTTCTAAGGCAGTAGCACAACTTTCGCTCAAAGTTTGAGCGGCTAACTTCACATTCATCTTGTTTTTGAACCAAATTATGTGCTTTTTAGTTAGTTTATTAGCCAAATGGAAATTCCCATTTTCTTGCAGTTCAACTAGCTTCTCCAAATATTCAAATTTTATGGAATTGCCGTCACTATCGTATAAAACACGTTTTGAAGCTAACGTATTCCTTATTAATTTTAACATATGAGCAGCATCCAATATTATGTGAACATTATGATTATCTGTTGGATGACAGAAAAAAGGCTTTCCATTATAAACATCCGCTTCAAGGGTGTTGCACATTGTAATATTTGAAAGGAGCCCATCGAATGTCATGGCAATAACTTTTACCCCGGATGTTGCAACAAATTCCAAGACTTTTCTCGTAATTTCCGCTCTTTCTTGAGAATTCAGCGAATTTACAAAAAAGTATGCTACCGGAATTTTCCATCTTTGGTTAATGCCTGTTAGCATATACACCAAAGCGTATTTCGCTATCGGCAGATTTCCTGAGTTATCACTCATCGGCAATCCACAGTCGACATATCCGACGAACTTCTTTTTAAATTTACACCATTCGACTTGCTGGCGTATGGACATTTCGTCCATCATTAAACAACCGTACAGTTGTTTTGTACTCGTGGCCACTTTCTTTTTTAAAATATCAATTGCATCATTGGTGAGGCCTGGCGAGCAATCCATGTTTCCGTACCAAGCCCGAATTGTTGATGGAGCTGGTAAATTGTTCTTGAAAACATGCCTTAGATAGTTATACGCCTTCGAGCTATAAAAATTAACTGTCAAGGCAAAAGCTCGAAGTTGCGACGAATACTGTCCATTGACTTTTCCTTTCTGCAACTCCGCAAGTATTGTGTTCTCCTGTGTTGCCTACATTAAATTAAAAATAATAATTTCTTTATTTTTGAACTATTAATTTTTCAACATATACATTTGCTGACGTAGGTACAAAGATCAAAATATAAATCCATCCTCGTACCTATATCGTAAAATTATTATTAATGTGCAGGTGTCATTTTATTATTTTTACACTTTATTTGTACAATTGTCGATGTATACTTATTGATATACGTTAACATTGAAACGTTCATATTAATGATTTACAATGACAACACAATACGTAATTATATATATATGTATATATATATAAAACTATAGTATATGATTATAATATAATTCAAAATAACGAAAAAAAGGGCTCTAAGCCGTGACAGGATGTTAGTGTCGAATAAAATTTTATTGTTATATTAACATAAGTAATAATTAACTCCATAGGATTCCTATGGAGTTAATTATTACTTATGGTAGTATAAGAATAAAATTTTATTCGACACTAACATCCTGTCACGGCTTAAAGCCCTTTTTTCGTTACTTTGAATTATCATACAAGCCTTTGACATATATAATATAATTCGTTGCTTAATAATAATAATAATGTTACAATATAAATCATAATTAATTAAGATATCGACTATTTATAATTCAACGATCGTATTATATTTTCACATATTTTATCATTTTACCTGTATAATTTCAAAAGCATTCTCCGAGAGATCAAATTTTTTTTGCAGTTCACGTAATAGCTTTTCTAAACTTGATATTTTCCTTTTATGACGAAATTCATTAACTTTCAGTTTTTGTATAGTTTTATCTTTTGCTTTGCAAGCAGACTTGAGTAATCGAATGCAATTACTTTTTGTGGTTGGGCTCATTTGTTCCACAAGTTCATCTTTAATATCTCCAGGGTATCTGTAAATCTTTCTCGGAGTGTTCAGTATATTAGATGGTAGGGACGTATCTGCTTTATTTTCAGTAATCAAACTGCAAAAGAACATTGTTATTAATTTCATGATTCACATAATGTATTAGGAATAAAAATATTAGCCAGGAAGATAAGAGAAGTATTAAATTTATTTTTAATTAATTTATGAAACATTTTACCTCGTCCGTTGTGAGTTATTTTCAAACTCTGGATTCATTGATGTTTTATTGACTGGAATCCATTGATCAGCAATCACATGCGCGTTTGATGATTCACTATTTGAATCTTTTACTGCTGTAGTTAATTTTTCAATTTTGAGACGCTTTATCGATTGTGGAATGCAATGATCATCAGTGATATTTGCATTTGAAAACTCGTCATCAACATTTAAAGCTGGTAGTAACTGCATCATACTATATGGAATAATTGTAATAGATTTAGAAAACTTTCGAACTACTGTACTTGCATTATAGAAATTTTATGAAATATTAAATTATTCCATTCAAATTTATCTACCGCTTCATAATTAAGCTTTTCAACATTTATGGCTAGTTCGGTACTGACATTTTCGAGCGATCTGAGAGCGCTCAGAAATATCAGTACTGAACTCCCCATTAAATATTAGTTAAAAATTCGAACATAAATTAGTATAAATTATATTAATATTAGGAGAAAGGTCATAAAGCGAGCTAAATTCAAAGATCTAAAATGTTAATAATTTATTAATACATTTAAATAATTAGTACTGTACGTTTCGATTATACTAAGTCATCCTCAGGCCATAAATAAATAATCAATTAAAACGTTAACATTAGAGCGCTGGTTTAAATATAACAAGATAATGTAAAAACCCTGAAGGGGGTGACCTTTCTCCTAATATTATTGCTTTGCAAATTCAAACATGAATTGAAACAGTTTTATAAAATATATTACCTGTGGTTTTGGGCACGTGGAAAAATAGTCGGCACTGCATTTGATTTCAACCGAACCTGCGAATAACCAATCCTTTCTAGGCAATCGTTTGTGAAATGCAGTTCGCAGATACGGCTATATTTTGGTAAATTTCGAGCACTTTCTTGTCTGTTCTGAGTGGCTATTGCCTCAATCCACTTCTCTCTCAGAATTGGATTACTGGGAAACCTACAGTCAGAACACAAATATGTATGTATATATTTTTTTTCTGAAGTTGCGACAATAAAATACGTGCAAATGAAAATAAAAACGCTCGCAAAATAAAACTTTATAAAGTATTTAATTGAAGTATTTTAGTTAGAACATGAACATACCCGAAAAGATGTAAAGTAGTGTCATTTTCCTTATCTTGGCGCTTGTATTTTGATGTTTGGCACTTTTCCACAAAGCAATACCGGCCCATCTCTTTTTTTACATTTTCTTCTTGAAAATCACAAGCACCCACCAAGCTGGCTGCAGCTGGC